TATGCTAGCCTATGTCATTCAGTACTGAGTAGAGGTATAAATAGCATAATTATTCCACTTAGACTTATTAAATTCTGATTTCATGTCAGTCTCAGGAGCCCAAACCAACTTTATTCTGGAAATATAATCTACGAAAAGCTATAGACAAGATTTTGTTACTCACCAGGAATGCAAAACAAATATTCAATTCAAATTGATATAGTTATTAGCCAACTATGAATGATCATGGAAAACAGAGATCTCTCATTGTTTTAGAAATGATTTTTACTAAAAAATAAGACATTACCTTGAAATAGTATCATTAATAGTATCAGAAACCTAATATTCTTCAAAACATTGGATTTCTGACATCAAAAGACTACGCAGCCAAATGGTCTACCAGACAGACCCTGTACCCCTTCCAGGGTTCACAGCGTACTGTTCCCACACATACCAATCACTTTCCCAGCAATCACAGCCAGGAAAGACCTAGAGAGGTCATCTTCCTGGTCTACCATTTGCACATGCTAATGTTTTCACTTAAATGTGTTTTTCACTATTATGTACCTCTGTTTTGACAAACATTTTTCACTTTATATCACAATCACTGTCTACCATAAATTTTCACTTATACATCCATAAAATTAGGAGAGAAAGAGCCTTTCTATTAACTTTTATATCTTGTCAAAGATTTGCACATATCTTGTCAAAGATTTGCGCATATCTTTGAGGTGGTAGACCTCAGTTGTTTTAATTGGATCTTATTTACATTATAAAACCACCGGAGCCATGCACTAGAGCTCTATAGAGATAAACTGTTATTGAGGTGTTCTGCTATATGGGTTACACAAACCGTCCAAAGTGAATTCTGATATTTAATCTGCTGTGATAATATTAGCAAGTGAGACCTTTGAAAGGGGATGAGGCCAGGGAGAATGTGCCCTCAAGAATAGCTTAATGCCTTTTTCATAGGAATGGGTAATTCTAGAGTGGCTATGCTATAAAATAAGCCTTCTTCTGTGCTCCCTGGAATGTTATACGTTGTTAAGAAGACCCTCATCAGACCCTGACACCTTGATAATGGACTTCCCTGCTTCCAGAACCTTGATAAATAAATTTCTTTTCTTTATAAATTACTCAGTCTCTCCTGAGAGTGGCAAAAAATAAGACTAAGACATGTTCCAATTAATACAATACTAACATGGAAAGTGTTTTCTTTATGGTCTATGCACAGCAGTTGATGGGAAGAACAATTCAAGAAATCAATAACATTTAGAAATAAGATGTATATAAATATAAAAACTCTAGCATAAGAAACAAAGGAAACTGTACGCCATTCCTATCTCATTACAAAGTCATTATGAGGCAAACAAAATTCAATTGTTGGAAATAGTTCAAAGATACAACACAACATGCATTGTAAATCTGAAACAAATTTTATGTATGACACAAATAATTGAGCCTTTAATTCTACAACAAAATTGTGTATGGTTACTTGGAGAGTGTCGAGAAGTGTAATCTAATATGATGTCTTTGTAAATTAGAACCCACATAAAACTCATCACAGTTTGGAAATACATTCAAATGAATTCACTTAAAACACTATCCTCACTTTCATTTCCCTGTTTCTTTGGTGAGTGAAAGGGACCCAGTGACAGAGAGTGATTCAGGAGTTACCGGTAAAGTATAGTCAATTTTAAATATTTGGCAGCTAGTAATTCATTCAGACGTGAGTTAAACACTGTTCAAGTTGAAAGGGAAGATTAGGTTTCTATAATAATTAGTGAGTTCATGTTCAAACATACAAATCAAATGATTTGATAGTTTTACTCTAGGAGAAAAATATAAAGGTGGTTGTGGGAAACAGGAAACTATGGAAGGAAGGGATGCTATTTCATAAGTGACTTAGAGGGGAAGATCTTCAGAGGAGAAGATTCCTCATTATTAAGATTCCTGCCTTGTTATTTAAGCAAAAGACACTGGGGGGAAAGAGCCACCAAATCAGACCCTAGAAACAGATTTGGTCCTTTCTAGGGATGGTGTGATCAAAACTGTGCAGCAAGCTTTAGAAAACTGGATGTGAAAGAGAGAGAGAGAGAGACAGAGAGACAGAGACAGAGGGACAGAGAGAAACACAGAGACAGAGAGACAGAAGAGAGAGAGAGAGAGAGAGAGAGAGAGAGAGAGAGAGAGAGAGAGAGGTTGAACATTATGCGGACAGGCATATTATCAGCTTTCTCCTTAACACTGAGTAATGGAATGAATGGTTAAAGCAGGAAAATATATTGGATCAGATTTATATCAGTAAGTAATCAATTTGGACAGTTGGAGATTTCTTAATAAATCATGACCACTTAGGCGCCTGTTGCAATAGTCTATAAAAATGTTGGAAGATGCATGCCCTTATGGATGAAATTCATAAATCTCAGGCCCATGTAGTATATCAACATGTACACTGTGAAAAAATCATTAATAATACCTTATTTTTTAAAAAGCCGAAATTGTATATGGTGATGGGAATCCAATTTGTCATATGTTGATGTCTGAATTTTTTTATCAGTTTGGTCTACACAATATATTTAGTAAAAACATTAAATATACATGGGTATAAACTATGCTAAAAGTACTTCTTGTTCCAACATGACCTTGAGGACAAATACGTAACCAACTCAAAGAGATAAGCAGCGTAACTAACAGAAGTGATAAAAGGAAAAACAAGCTTTCTAAAATATAAGAACCAAAATTGCATTGTCCTGACAAATGTTAACTACAGATATATAATTCAGAACCCAGAATTGCAAGAAACATTTGTTTCTCAAGTATTTCTTAAGAGAATTAACTCAGACTGTCCAAATGTCAGGAACCAGTACAGGGAAAGATAAAGTACATGTTATGGTAGCATAGTAAAGACAGATATGAAAATAAAAGGAGGTATTAGAATGAGAATATTCAAATTTAAAAAGTTGTTTTCCATTTAAAAATGGGAAGAAAGTGGCCAAGGATTTAGCTCAGTGGCATAAGCATCTGCCTGGCAAGTGCAAGGGTGTGAGTTTGATTCCCAGTACCAAAAACGAAAAAAAAGCAACAAATAAGAGAAAATAGAAGTTACTCTTGAAAGACAGATTCAATAACTTATAAAATAGTTTGAAAACTCATAAAGGATGATATCTGAAAATTCCTTACATGAAAAGAGAAATTCAAAGAGATGAATGAGAAGCTCTATTTTGCTTACTTAATAGCTTTCAAAAAAAGTCTTCATTATTTTGATACCATAAAATATTCCTCTAAAGTCGGATAAGACCCATATGTTCATTTCCAAGTAACAAGATACAACTGCAGCTAGGAAAAATCCATACAGTGAAAGAAGTTTAGGCTTACCTGCAGGTCTAAAATCCTATAGGAAAATATGTTTTCTAAGTTTTAACATTTCTATGTTTAAATTAATTAATCATAGTAGTATTCAAATACATAGATAGGGGATTATTTACTTGATAATGATTTTTAAGAAGCAATTTTAACTGGAAATCATTTTAATAAAAGTAGAAAAATGAACTGCAATAGTGCAGAATATATGAGGAGACCTCAGGCCTCCTGTTGGTAGATAATGGTTGATGTCTCTGTGGCTGGAGGTAAGAGGATCAAAGGCTTCATTACTGTATAAAATAATATGACTATTAACACCTGCGTGAAGGCAAGTGTTTAGAGGTTTCTAGTTTGGCAAGTAACAACCTGCCAAAGCAGTGCGCTTTTGAAAAAAATTAAAGAATACATAATTTTACTTTATAATATGTGGCAAAATGTGGAACTGTATGTCACATGTGGAGATGTAACTGTACTTCCACAGTTAACAGACAGTGATTGACATTTAATCCGAAAGAGACCATGTCTTAGTTTATTATATAAAGAAATGTATTTTATAAGGAAGAATATAATCTTGGGAAATTCACAAGATCAGGATAACTATTTTCATAGTGTTTATGTCTGAAAGCTGTGATAATCATCAAAATGTTGAAGTAGAATATTTGTAATATTTGAATTTTGTGTGTGTGTGTGTCTCTAGTTATAGAAATATTTCTCAAAACTACATACAATATGATCAGATTTTTGTTTATCTGGTAGTCTATATAATTTTCATTAATTTTAAGTTATGGTCATAATTCATTTTTCCTTAGACAAGTCTCATTATGAGTTCAGCTGGTTTTGAGCTTACTAAGTAGCCAAGGATGACCTTAAATATTTAGCAGTCCTCCTGCCTCAGCTTCCCAAGTGCTGAGATTATAAGTACGGCTCCTGTGCCCAGCTTATAAGTCTTTTAAACATCTGTCCAAATAACATTTTTCCGCTTTAAAATTTCTTTGTTAATTAAGATCTCTGCTCAGAAAAACTCATATCTTTCAAATATTGCCACAAATTTCAATGTCATTCCCTAAAATTAATTCCTCATTCTCAATAGAATATACAGTAGTATTTTTATCACGTTTGTTCCATAATAATGCATTATACTTTCATGTTAACATAATTATGGCTTTATTTTGAAGCTAAGTGAAAAAATTTTAAAAGGTAATTAAAGAAATTTTTTCCTAAAACCAAAGCTAAATAATTTCCAGATTCTTTTGTTCTCTTAAAAATCATTTACCATTGCAAACTTAGAGCTTATAACAACTCCTTTATGAAATAGTTTCCACTGAAACCAAATTGATCAGTTAAATGTACAATTACTTACTTTAAGGGCATGTCTATGGATACAGAAATACAAATTAGAATATGTTAAATTAAAAGACACTTTTGAAAGATAATACTTTAAATTTCTCACATAATGAGAAAGGTCATCCTTTATGCTTATGTCTTCAGATCTTTCCATCGGGCAAATTTTTTGTTTCAAAGTACCAGATTTGGAAAAATGATATTATAATATGAACCAGAGAAATTAAAAGAAATAATAATATAGCTATGATTTTATTGCTTCAATTAGGAAAATATTCAGGTAGAATGGCTTAGAATTACTACACTTTAACACTTACCTGCGTAAAGAAGGGTTCATAAATCTCAACTCCTTTATCTGACCCTTGTAGTAACACTTCCTGCCCACGTCTCCAGCTATACCGAACAGGTGGATTGGAATTGGCAACACACCGCAGGAACACTGTTCTCTCATAGTAAAACTGCTCCTTAGCTTCACCTATACTTTGATGAACAGTTACTACAGGGTCATCCAAATCTAGAAGGAAAAGAAATAACTGAGTGTCAATGTTACGAACTGTGTGGCTTTCAAAGCACCTTACTCATAGAGCATGGACTGATGATGCATATTCCTTATTGATTGCATTGCTTATCACTGGGTCCTTTATTTTCATTGAACTTACTGAATTCATTTTCAAAGAAAGTTCCAGTGACAAGAATAAACACTATCATTTCTGCAGATCTATATGTGTTGAAAGGAAACAAATGACCTTGCACATTCAAACTCCTTGTTAATAGTGATTTACAAATGTTTCATGAGAATGACCAGCATTCAAATCACTCATTTAGAAGGCTTTAGGCCAAAAAATGAACCAGAGAAATCAAAAGTGACAGAAAATAAGCATTTTGTAACTCAATTGACTCTTTTTCTTAATGTACTTAATATTCTGTTTTCTCATAGTAAAACTGTTCACTTACTAATAATCAATATATTTAATTGATTTTTAGTAACTGCTCACTTACTAATAACTAATATATTTTACATTTGAGAGAATTATGCGTATGATTATATTCTGGTAAAATATGACCTTGAAGGGAGTTAAATTTTACCCTGATCTAAGATTTTACATCTTAGATTAGGTTTGCTAACTTGATATGTGCTAACAGAAGACACTATTAAAAGGCATTGATATTTCTATTGCTGAGTACTAGAAAAAATATGTGGCATTATATATATATATATATATGGATTATCCACCATAGTATTTAGCATATTCTGAGAAAAAACTTATTTGTAAATATCTTGTTCATGTGCTTATTGTGTCAAAAGCTCATCTCTATCTTTGCAGTAAAAAATAGCCAAGTACAATATGCAAATGAATCAAGGACAAATGTTACTGAGCCGAATTTCCAGTAAACCTATAAAATAAACACAGGCACTCCGAGACAAGTGTGGCTAATGTGTCCTTGTTTCCCAGCCCCAGTTAGAGCATAAGAGAAGAAATGAAGAAGTTACTTGCCTTAGACAACAGCAAGCCCAGTCTCATGGGCTACTATGAATCCATAAACACTTACTTATCGTGATGTTAACACTTGCTAGCTTCACTCTTGCTCTTTTAGCTTTATAATGACCAAAAGTGATTTAACTTTGTGACCTTCAATTCTCTTATCAGTAAAATGGAAGTAGTCTTGGTACTATCTTACTCAGGTACTATATTATTCAGTTTGAGCTTTACATGAAACAACCCATATAGCCCTCGGTATGTAGTAAATGCCCAACAGAAGTTAGTTGTCATTACTAATGTTAGTTATCATGATGGTCTCATTTAAGTAACTTCAGCTGATTCTATGTCTTCTTACAATTATCTCAGCAATTCATAAGGCATTCTGCTCTCATTATAACTAGGTCACTTGCCCATTTGTGCAGGCTATCAAATGCTTCCACATGACAAGCACTTTCATGTGAAAACTGGAAAAAAAGCTACGACATTTATATAGACTTAAGAGTAATGAATTGTGTGAGGATTTGCCAGTCTATGTATTTAAAAGGCATTGTTCCTCAGAAAAGATTCTCTTTAATGTAGAAAATAACAAAAAGCCAACAAAACCAGTGAAGTAATAGCTGTCCTGAGGAATCAAAGTAGAGAATTTTCACATCTTTTTAAAAAGTATTTTTTAATGTGAATTGCTTGACAGTCCTACTTTGATTTCTAGTTTTGTAACATTATGAAGTATTTTTTTTCTTCTTCCAACATTAGAATCTTTTCACAGCTACCTCAAAGGCCTCTAATTTTAGTAGTGCAAATTTACAGAACAACTGCTTCTTTTTGATAAAATTTAATGAACTTTCATTTAAACTTTATTAATTGTTCAGGGATATATATATATATATATATATATATATATATATATATATGCTGTCTGGTCTTAATAAATTGAAATATTTGGAGATTCTAGTATTACTATCATAAACGTTTACAAATGTATCACATTTTCACTCATTTAGGGATTAGCTTTTCTTATATAAATTCCATAGGAGTTTAACTGAATTTCAATGAATTGAAAAACTTGACTGTAAACTTATTGTAAAAAAAATACAATTTTCTTTTTTGTAAAATTCTCTGTCTTTTAATCATTGGCTCTTTTTCAGAAGATATAAGCTGCAATCGGTTATAAAAAACAACATCCTGAAACCAAAAAAAGCTTAGGAATGCAGTGGTTGGTGGGTAATCAATGAGCTGATTTTACAATGGTGACCATCCTTGGTGGTGAAATTAATAGTTTTATACCTCCTAGTACCAATGTATGACGTATTCCTAGCTCTTTTCTTGTTAGGTGATGGGGTTAGCAGGTTTAATCCGAAATAGACTTAAGTTTAAATCTCTGGCTAAACTTGCTATTCTCTGGTCTAGATGAGTTTTAGGTCATTGGCCTTGTGAGAATCTCACCCTGTAACAAAGATTATTGTACATTCTATAGGCTGTGTTATCTGCCATATTCATACATTTAAGAATTTCTACTTCATGAAATTCTCAAGTGAATTTTTTCTCTTTAAGAATTAAAAACTAACAGGCTTGAACAAGTGTACACAAGTAAAATACTTGCAGAGCTAGAAAAATATTTTTTTCAGGGAAGTTATACTAGTTGTATACATGTATACATATGTTTATATATACACAAACATATATATCACATATCATTTTAATGTATTTTATATATTCCACAATCCCCAAGTGTATTAAAATATGCATATTTATCTTAAGTCAGATTTATGAGGACAGATGTCCTGAAAGATGTGTGTGCAGCAAGTATTAGGTCAACTGAGGGGGGAGTGAAGGAGAGAGGATTGAGATGGGAGGGGCTGAATTATACTGTAGCTGTGACATGGGTCTCAGTAGCTTTGGAGAAATTTTGGAGCTGTGATGTCCTCTCAGAGATGTCCTTTCCCCAGGCAAGGTGTCTAAGTGTTTGTGTGCCAGGAAGCAGCTAGTCAATTTGCACTGCTTCTCACCCATGACATTGGAAAGCCCTGATTTCATTTGGCTTGGGGAAATCTGTAGAAAGGGAATGAGCTGCTAGAGGAAGGCACGCTTTGTTCTTGAGGACGGGATGAGCTTGGTAACTAGAGCAGTTACTCAGATCCAGTTGTTAGAGTTGATCCTTCTATGTGGGAAAACTAATCCAGGATTCTGGCTACTTTCCTTGCCTCAGAAAATTTTCAAAAAGGATAGCTGCAGGATGGTATTCATCATTTCCTGTGCCATTACTGTTTGTATCTTGGGCTAGTATACCTTGTTAAGATATAGGCAACTTGCCCAGTGGTGCTAGCAGAGAAATTTGAGATCTTGGTCGTCATACCCTTTCAGGTCGTGGTTGATACACTGGTCTGTTTACCAACAAAACTGGCAGAGAGATCACCAAGAGATGACCCACAGATCACGTAAGTATTAAACACATTCTTTACTACCTAATGATGTAAGAACACCTCAAACTCCTGCAGAACATACAGACTAGCGACTGCTGCCATGACAGTGACTCTTCCTATCTGCTGTTTCCTGACACAGGAAACTAAGGAGCTGCATAACATTCGTGCTTAAAGGTTAATGGGGCTTTTGCTGTGTCACTTTATAAAAGCTATTTTCCTTTCTGGGAACTGAGCTCTCTAAACTGGCAAAGCCCAGAGATGCGGGAAGAGAAGTGTAGATTTCCCAAGTGGGTCATTGGAGGAGAGGGTAGTAAGTGAGGTCACTACTTGATTCTTAGACCTATGTATTTTACAGAAAAATAGAGCAATAACGATCATTGATTTAGGATTAAACTGCATCCTAGTGCATAGAGTCTTCTCCTCACTGGTTGTTATTTCTACAAGACTCATCTTCCTTTTCAAAAGACGATCTAATCATAGTAATAAGTTGGAATTTTTAGTTGATCGGTATATGTTATGACAAGATAATCCTAAAATAAGTTGCCCAGTGCAGAATCCTAGATATCTGTGTCAGCTTGGGCCCTGTGTTGACAGTCCTCCAAATGTTTCAGTAGTGCATGTCTATACAAGTAATTGGATGCAGAATCCTACAGAAAGAACTCATAGATTCATTATCATATATACTCAAAAGATGTTGCAGGATTCTTTCCAGGGATTCAGTTTCCCTTTGCTGAATGAGTTCAATGTCTAAACACTGCCTCAGGTTAGAAATTGGGAAGTGTCATGAATTTTTATTAGATAGCCCTTTCCAGTTTCTTGATCATGCATATTTGATTTACTTCTTTTCTGTAGATTCCGCAGTATTTTGGTGGCTGTCCCCAGGAATGATGTGTTCTGTTAACTATCTCCACAGACCTGTGTAAGTTTAGAGTCCTGGATGCAATCAAACTAGTTGCTCACTAAGATAATTGTGAGAACTAAACACTGTAACTACACCTTTGTGATTCTGAGTTCCTGTCATTGCCACTACTCTCAAAAGTTAAATTCTGTAACACTGTCTCTGGCCCTTCAACATTGGCCTATGGAAGTCACCACGGAGTCTCTAAGGATGCCTGAAACAGGCATCCTAATGGATCTAGTCAATAAGATGTCCTTCAACTTTTGTGTAGAATAAAATGAGCTATTTCTTGATTGACCAAATATACTTACTTTAGCATATCTATGTCATTGAATCTTCTGAGTTTTAAACTGTCTACTCAAGTTCTGGCATTTATACCTTATTAGTAGGAACCACTACTTTTTAAGACTTCTAACAGTCAAAACCATTAGATTTTGCATCAAACTAAAGTGTTCCCTTATCCTCTTATGCTCCATCCTCACTTTATCTCATTCATCATTCCCAATGTTTTCCAGTTTTATTTTCCATTCCATTTAATCCGTCAGCTCAGAATCCAGTTCCATACATACTATCCTAAGTTCTACCAGTAAATACTGGCTGCAGTCCCTTTGGAACAAGTCTTCTACTAGAGCTAACAATTCCATTGTGTCATAGCATTTCTGTTGGCTTTATGCATCGGACCAGTGGCTAGAATGCAGGTGGAGATCGTATCCTG